GAAAAATAGGCAATGGTCGGAACATAAAGCCAACAGCCGTTCCACGCTTTCCAAGCTACGGGAATCGAGACCGAAAGGACCTCCCAGATGTGCCTTACTCGAGGTCAACCGGCCTACTCTAGCATTCATATCTCCTAATAAAATCACAATATCAGTAGATGGAACTTACGGATCATTAACATAGAGTTCTGTGTAGCCTGAACCTAGCTCTGGTACATAAGCGCATACGCACATAGTCTCCCTCTGATTCGTGCACGCGTGTGTACATCTCTGCGTTTACTGCAACGCAAATAGCAGTGCAATGTTCTGGAGACAGCGTAGTTGACGTAATTAGCACAGTCAATCAATACTACGCCAGAGCTTAGTTCAAATTTCACAGAAATCTATGGTAACGATCAGTATTTAGTAACTACTGGTTGTGTCAACACTAGTAGAAACTGAGAATTCAACTTGAGCTGTAAGAGGATCTGCCCACTAGATGTACGAAAACTCCTGATGCACCTGTATATGTATACTACTTCTGCTACTACTTAACTCAGCATGCATACCCTCGTGTAGGCAAATCACTTTGTCACATGCATTATGTGCAGTGTGTCTCAGAGAAGACATTTCAACAACTCAGCCTGCCCTAGGTGTCTAGAATTTACAACTCCCCCATTAAATTAGATTTTGGGGATCAATATTCTAGTTACTTGATCTCATTGGTAAATCACAGATTTGTTGGACAGGTTTTAATGAGCGAAAGAAAAAAACCACAATCACCGGGAGCGTTGCTTTCAACCATTTTTTTTCATGCTCTGGTTGGTTGTCACCACTGCATTCAGGTCACGTTTGGTCGAGTAATAATAGGTTTGTGAACAAGCGAACACACTTGAGCGCAAATCAATTTATATGGAGACCAAAAGTCACGAAAACCCCTATCGAACTGGGTGTAGAGGTAGGCAGCCACTACGCCGAGTACTTAGTTATGGAGGGGTGTGATCAGTTTTGCCACAGTGACACGAAATCGGTTCTGTTTACAAAATTGGGGCTTGTGTAACGTCGAATGGTAAGTGCCTTGACAAACCCTAATGTGTTAATGCGCTTCTGTCGTGTTCGGAAACATGATGAAAACCAAAACGATCTCATGGCGTCTTCGACGGTTTTGACGGTCTCTTAAGTCAAAGCGGTTTGCTTTCTTCTGGATCGAGCCTCGCCTAATCTTACCTGTTCAGAGTGACTTATCCGTCTGTTAAGAAATTTATATTCCTGCTAACTGTGTACCAAGCATAATTTCTTACACTGTAACAATTTTAATAAATTTTGTTGATTCAGTTCGTTCCCACTTATTCCCTCTTTCGTTGACAGATTTACTTCCCGTGAGATAGATTGATTTCTTGGATTTATTAAAGGGTACTCCGAAAGTCTCGGTAAGGCTTGGGATGTAACTGGCCACCCCTCCCTCACGTCTAACGAAGATTTCCTATACGACCAAGCCTCCTAAGTGGTCTCTGCTGAGGGAGCCATACCCACTGCTTTCCCGTGGCGGTTTTCCATCAATCTGAGGGGACGAAAAGCCAGCATCCGGATCAATGAAACACTGACAGTTCACCTGGCAAAGTTGGCCAAAAACCCTGACTTCAGACCACCCGAGAAGAGCCACACATCTGGTTGTGACAGTAGTCACCGGCTTGATTGAGCACCTTGTATATTTTATCTCATCCGAAGGACCCGATGAACTGAATACCGGCCACCAATGGATTGCGGTTGTCACATACCGCACTGCTATTTTTCGGGTTAGGCTTCTGTGAGCCGAAGGTTCAGGTTGTGAGTTCCCTAAGAAAATTCACTTGCTTCGACCTGAAAAGCCTGGCAGTATTCGCTCACGAGCGAATTATAGACCGAGTTATTTGTTATCAAGATAGTTGTACTGTGTTTTGTTCCGCGCACAGTTTGAACTTAGATCCATTTGAGATATAATAATGATGGCAATAAGACCTTAAAGGAATGAAATTAATCTGCGGTTTCTTGCGTTTACAATAACTTCTGTTTCTCTCTTCGAGTTGCCATATTGATGACTTAAGATCTGTGGGACAATATTTGAAATCCGTGACTAATTGCGCGCAGGGAAAGAAGATGACGCAACTGACTTTCATCCATTGTTTTCACCACATTTCCTCTTTCATACGTTAGTCATTAAAGAATGGAATCAGATAATATACCATGCTATTCCTCTAATGCCGCAGGCAGGTAAATGAGTTCGAAGATGATTTTCATTCATTTTGTTGGCTAATAAGAATCACCTAGTTGAACTCCAGTTTCTGCAAACTAATTTAAGTAGCAAATCATATCACCTTTGGAAAATAACCTGGCGGATTTCTAGTCACAATGTGAAGAACCAAAATGACGTTTTTATTTGCGTTCAGTCGATCTAAGCAACTGGGATGAACATGGGCTCATGTACCAGGCCTAACAAAGATCATTTCCCCCTCCTTGCGAGCATCTTTTAGCACCATAATGGGAAACCGGTCCTATATTTAGAGGTCTATGATCGGAAATAGTTAAATCCATACCACTCATAACCCTTGACTGTGTTACCCTGGGCTGTCTCATCGCAACTCGGTGCCCCCAGCTTGACATGTACCACTCAATTCAACGATCGTGTGTGTATGTTGCACGCACCTTTCACGTCCATCACCGGCCGCAACTGTTTGTCTAACAGTCATTAGTTTTTTTTACAAGAATTGCATGTTAGAGAGACCAACTCCTAAGCACGTGTATTATGCGTGTCTCACCTCTTTGGCTATCTCAATCGCTTGGCATCATTTATCTAACCGAATTTGCCACCTTCTACAAAGTCATGGATAAAAAAATAAATTCAGCTATCGGGGCTGATCGTGTTGAGAGCGTTGAGCAATAACTAGTAACTTGCATGCGGTAGCTTGTTGTATTTCTTGGAGTTCAGTCAGACTCAGTCTAATCGCTCGGACATTGCTGGTTCTTGCGAAAGCAACCCATGGATCAAACTGGGGCGGCGGGTATTGCCGATACTGTGTGTGTGTGTGTGTGTGTGTGTGTGTGTGTGTGTGCGCGCGCGCGCGCGTACTTGCTAGTCTTTGCTCTAGAGGCTTGAGTCTGGCTATGGAAACCCACGGTCGTGTACGATGTGAGAACGGACGCCATGCGTCGCTTTTTTGCCATACCAATGGGCAAATTGTAACCCGTATATCTCGCGGATTCCCGCGCCTGAAACCGGTGCTTGCGTAACTGAAAAATAGAGCATCCTTTATCCAGTGCACAATGGAGAACGGATCTGTATCTGGTCCCATTCTTACACCGTTCGTTAGCGCGATATGGAGTATATCACCGACTGACTCTGAACCAGTGACCTACGCATCGATGTACTAAAAAAAATTGCACACTAAATCTCTTCAGATCCTACTCACCGGTTTCGCGTCAGCTCGACTTCCTGTCCTCTCGTCTGTCTACAAAATCACAACTCTGTCATATAGCGGTGCCGTATTTGGCTCATATTTTGAATCACGGACAACTTATTGGGAGTTATCCCCTCAAAAATCTCAATGTCTAACTGCTTCTGTATTTGTCCTCAACCTGTGAAATTGTTCGTGCACGCTATTTGATGAAATGCTTGCAATTATCACAACAACACACGATGATAGAGAGAGAAACTATGTAGTATCCGTCCCGGTGACTGTTCTCAACGTGCTTTTTGTCGAACCTAGTTTACCGCTTACTGTCTCTCTCCGGCTACCAATTCACTCTGTCCTCCTTCTTTTTCGTCGTACCCGCGTAAAAGGACGTGTTCGGAATAATTGCAAAACTATTGGAAATAACAAGGGAAGGGGACGAGTCAAAAACAGCGAAATGTATGGTGGTAACCTCTCAGGATTGGCCGGTTGACTATACGGGGCCGGATATTCACTTATTCTGAACGGTCCCAGTGGTGCGTGAACCAAATTGAAGTGCATCGGGTCGGATAGGTGGGGTAGAGTTCCACAAAGCTCGACAAGGGCCGGGTGACGTGGAGAGAGAGAAGCTGTTGGATCCAAATCTCCGCCGCGTGAACCGAGCTCTGTCGTGCTCTTGTACAGAAATGCACACTGTGTGAGTGAAGCACACAATCGAGAATCGCTGCATATTTCCAGATTGATGTGCGCGAGTGCGTGTGTGTGTGTTCTGTTTCTGCTAGCCTCGACTGAGTTCGTCAGTTGGTTGGTTGGTTTATCATGCCGGCTAGCTTTTATCCTTGACATTTGTTGGTGTGGTTAATCCGTTCGGAACTGTGTGACCCGTGGCCAAGTAGAGAAGGCAATCTTCCGACCAATCGATACAATCCAGAAAGGTAGGTCTGCAGGGTAAACAAGGAAAATGAGTCTGGATTTGACATTCTATCGCTACTCGTTTTTTATGTCAGTATAAACAGAAACACACGTTTCGTCAATCTGTACTGGAGTGGTCGGTTGATTCAAACAGAATCGATCTACACCGTTCAATAGTCTGCCCTCAGCCTAACGTTGCTGCCATTTACGTGTGAAGTGCCTTATGCCTATTCAAGGTGCTAAACTATTGCTGGTGACTAGTAAAAACGACGCGCAGAAAAAATGACTTCACATAACTACTGCCTGCGTTCGGGCGACGATCTTACTTTTGGCTACAATGGTATAACGAATCGCACACGCTCACAAATAGTCTTCCTCAGAGAATCGGTACAAAATTTAATATGGCAGCCGATCTCATCGTTATTGATCAAAAGTGTAAGGAAACGCGCACCTTTCTTCGGGATCGAATGCCACGCAGCGGGTTGCTAACGCGATCAGCATGTCCGGTCGATCATCCGGAATCAGACCACTAGTCAGGAATTGGTTCATGTCTACTGACATACTGTTCGGATCACGTGGGATGTGATCCGGATCGGCTTCACATCGGGCCAGTAGTTGACAGAGGATTATCCCAAACGAGTAAACATCGACGGCATCGTCGTACGGTTTGCCTGCGAGCATTTCCGGAGCCATCCAAAACGGACTACCGACCTAGGCGTGGATGAAAGGGGGGATTTTCTGTGTGTTTATAAGCATTTTTATGTCAGTGACAAACAATAACAATAGGATAGTGTCTTTTTTGGTGGACTGTGGATATCAAATGGTGTTCCAAAAGTCTGCGTAACTGTGAACATCAATGAGTCTGCATGCAAGCAATAGGAAAAAAGCCACAAAGATTGACGACACAACGCTCAACCAGTATTAGAAAAACGACAGTCCCACAGTGATGTTACGTGTAAGAAATAAAAACTAAAAATAATTAAAAATTTAGTCCTGCTTGGTACTGGAGGAAATTGGCAAACGCCCTAAGTTGGTGAACTCCATGTCAGAAGGACTGACCCAATTGTTCAAGAATAAAAGAGGGCATACAGAGTATTGATAGAACGGATTTACAATATGTGTTACTTCCATCAATCATTTTAATAGATAAATCCTTATGATTTTTTCTACCGATGTTCGATGGTTATCTTATAACTGAAGCGCCACTGACCGTCTTCCGGATCGAGAAGTCGTACGTTTATAAAGCATTCGACTAATGGAATCAGCAATATAAATACGTGATACGTGCCTGGTGTGGGATGGATGCCATATCTATTTCTATGAATGAGGTTCGAAAAGCTAGGCATGTTCGTTTAAGACTTGCTTCCTAATCCAGTTATTTTATGTGATAGTCTCTTTCGTTATGGGCATTATTTTCCATAAATAACGATGGTAGACGTACTCGAATCAAACGGTATATAATGTGTATCACCAATGCTGCTAGTCGCAATATCAGGTCAGTGCTAATAATGTAACATAATAACCTAATCAAGTTACTAAACTGTTCAGACACTTTTTGAGCTCCCCAAATCATCTAAGCACAGGATTATTCGGTGTTTCAATTACCGGAACTTCAGCATTAATTTGTATAGCGCAATGGGTGCGTATAAACCGTCGCAATTTATACTTATACTACTTACAAGTAGTTAAATGTCAGTGGGGTAAAGCAATATCCCAACTCACCACTGTGTGCCTTCGTGGTCGCACACCATGTCTCCTGGTATTGTTTGCGATTTTCGTACCTGACGTTGGTGGTTGTCGACTCGGAAACTTGAATAGGGTGTTTGATTGACTGACAAATTTTGATAGACCAAAGTCGGATACAACGACCGAATTATCCTGAAATCAACCACATCAATTATTATTGAGGAAAATCAGAGCAGCTTACAGCTGGTGTACAGTCCCTTCTACAATTGGTCCAGTTCAGTACTTAACATTGAATTCTTACTTTGATTAGTTAGTTTTTAACTTAGGTATATTCATTATATGTTGTATAAAAGCAAAACATCAGATAAACTCATTACTTCAAGTTATGCATTGAAGAAAGTGCACCAAATCAGTAGCAAACCTGAACGTAAGCTCATTGGTGAATGCAATAAAGGTTCAGTGTCTTTCCATCGCTGGATAGTATATTTCTTGAAGACTTTCGTTATTATCTGTGGTTCATAAATTTAATAAACCTACACGACCAACGCTTTATGTCTTCTAGGTTTGCATTGTTGGGAAACACGGGACAGCTCAAGGTCTGATTTTGACAACTCGGTGGAGGAGAGGATTGAGGCCCGGAATATATAACGGTGTGCTCATCTGAACTTAATCAGATGGCTCTTGACCTAAAACTAAAACCTTTTGTGCAAAGGACATGTTTTCACTGTTCTCACACCTCCGGTAGTCAAAGGATTTACAACAAACTATGTAGGCCGTTCGTCACCAGCAGTGGCGTTCCTCAAGGGTTCCCTCTTTAGCCGTTCCTGTTCAATTTCGTCGCACATGAACTACTGGAGAACGCACTCAGTGGTCTACAAAACGTGGGTATTGAATGGGTAGCTGGAGAAAACTGTGCAATTTGGAGTACACCGATGACATCGTCTGTCTGTTCGAATGTATGCGGGACGCGCAAATCGCACTTGATAGATTAACAAGTGCGGTTACCACGTTCGGTGTATGTGTTGCACCTTCAAAGTGCGAAGTGATGCCGCAGGTTTTGGGTGTCGCCTATCCCCGCTCTGAAACTAAACGGCCAGGAACTAATTGTATTGAATCACTTTTCCTACTTAGGTAGTTGCATGACCAATTAAAGTAACGCAGCAAAAGAGAATCGCTCGCAGTTCCAAGGCTCGAGCAGCATACGCAGGACTGAAAAACCTTTGGCGTAGACGCCACGTTTCACTGAAGTTGAAAGATCGTGTATATTTCGCTAGGGTTCGTTCAGTTCTGCTTTATCGTTCTGAGACCTTGAACTGGCGAGTAGAAGATATCCCTGGACTAAAAGTTTTCCATCATCGGTGTTTACGTAGTTTAGCACAAGTGGGATGGAGCGAACGGTTTAGTAATGTGGAGGTAAGCCGTCGTGTGTTTGGGAGTCTATCAGGTATAAACCTGTTAGCACACCGAATTCGGATTAGTAGACTTCGCTGGCTAGGGCACGTATTACATATGCCCAGCTGTCGTCTACCGCACCGCGCTTTATTCACTGTAACCGCTCCGGGTTGTAGAAAACCACGTGGAGGTCAACAGATGACCTGGATACGAGGCATGAAGTAATGTACAGAGCCAGTAGGTATAGTAGGTGTCTCTCGCCTTCTAGGTTCGGGTCCGAAAGACTCCACAACTGGTTGTTTGGAGACATTGAGGGATATGGCAGCGAACCGACAACAGTGGCTTTTTTGTTGTCGTTTCGTATCAGGTCAGAATGCTTGAAACGGTATGTATACAGATCTCGATTGTGTACTCAGTGTGTTGACCATAGTGACTCACCTTCTCCTTCCTCCCTCAAAATAGATCCAATCCCTGTCCACCTTAAATTTTACCACTAACCTTTTATGCATTGCGAGTTTGGTAGCGATCAGTGAAGTTCACCTCACTGAATTTCGCTGTACGATGATGAGGATAATGATGCTCTGAGATCTCAGGGTCGATTGACTTATAACATATCTCAATGGTCAAATTACTTATGTATATCAGACCGTTTACATGTGAGCTGGTTTTAACACTGAGGAGATAAACCAAAACAGGGGATAAATGGCTTGAAATACTGCTGTATACACTGAATAAACTATAATGTAATGATCAAAAGTTAGGCCACCGCAATTGCTCCATACAGACACACGCACACACATGGACTTACCTGTCTCACCAGACAGTTCAGTGTGGTAAGGTCCCGGTGTATAAGTTCATGCTGATGAAGGAAGTCCTGTTTTAATGAAAAAAAACAGTACACATAAGGCTGATCAAAACCCATCAAAAAATTAGTGACACTGTTGATTGGGGAACAATACGGGATAAACCCCATCGTCACGAGAACCTACTGTTGGATTACGGAAACCGGCAACCTAATCTCGAGACTCGAAATGATGAACCAAATAGGACTCCACTGGTATGGATACGATAGTGAGCAGGGCGAGAACGAAGCTGCCTAGTATCAAATTTGGGTGATAATAGCGGGGTTCGGACCAGAGGACCCAATGCACGCCGGTTACAACCACTTAAACCGTTTGACCAGTGGCATGTATCATTGAACAACGGAACGTATCCAAGCTGACAGAAGTGTATGGTTGAATAATTATGGTTATAACAATAATTATCATGCAAGCAATAATGATAATACTTATTCCAATCCCTAATGTGATGAATAGTCGAAGGGGTCGGACCCATAGTCATGAAACGCTACTGCTCGATTGTGGGAGATCGTGACCCAAGTAGGCCCCGGGACATGGAATCTCGAAAAACAAAAGGCTCCACACAATTGAATGAGTGCGGGGTTGAAATGGAAGATAGCGAAGCAGCACGCCGCTAGAGTTAGCTGACGGTAGCAAGGCCTCGAACCTCGGAGCCCGCGTGGGAGAATGACTGTCATTATCGCTTTACTCGGAGTTGGCTCATGCCAATCATAGTATACCAGGGAATACTGATGTGACGATTTTCGGCTTCTAATTCTGATCGTAATTTTGTTATAAATAGTTTGTTTTCATGTGGCGCTTTGTTTGGTGTTGAGCCTTGTTCACTCGAGGTGATCCAGTCAATGCGATTTGGTGAATGTATTCAGAGAGAAAACTTTTGCGCAGCGTGAATGAGGTAAATCTTTTCTGCCCGAGTGAGTGATTGTTTGCTGTCCATTCGAAGAAATCGACAAGAAGCGTTTCACAAGACTGATGATTGGTTGAACTACTCCAATCTTTTTGGTGACTGTGGTATATGTCGCCAAAATTTCAAGGTTCACCTCAGGAATATGGAAGAAATGCCAAAGATGTTGATATTTAGTTTGACAAAGTAGTTCATCAATTCGGATCTGTTCTATTGATTTATTAGGAAGTGCTAATACGAAGAAGACCTTATCTGATAGGGCCGATTTCTTGCGGTATTACAGATCTAAAACAAAGCTCCAGTTTCCTCTATGCTAAGCGAGTTTTCATTCTTTCCCCCACAGAATGTGTCTCCTAAACATTCTGCCCAGAATGCACTGCCTTCTCAAAGTGAGAAGAACAAATGGCAATATTCGGTTCGATGAGACACAAAAAGTAGCCGGGAGCATAGGATAGCTGGCATATCGTGATTCCAACTCTCCCAAGAGAAAGCATGCACGCTGTCTTTAGGAGATCACAACTACCATGATCACTAGCTTGACTGAGCACGATCGGGGTGTAATAAACACTATGGACATAACAATTGTGCTTCAATAAAACAGTATTCGATTGAATGGACTCCAGTTACTGGTTGAACACTCTAATTTCGAGTTCCCTCCATAAATAATAATAATAAATAGACCGGAAAGGCTCAAACATTATTGGCCTGTGTTTCTTCATTCACGGTCCTCTGCGGCACATGAACAAGCCGATCATCAAAGAGATCGCAACCGGATGAAATCAGTTTTGGTTTGTTTTTGACACTATCCCCAACCACAATCAGTAGTGGATCTGCAATAGCTAGAGGATTGACACCTTTCAGTATACCCGTTTAGTATGCGATCCGTCAATAGGAGAGAGCGCGCACGCACAGCAATAGCTCCAGAATTTGGGCACACTGACGTTTTTGATGGCAAAATCCAGGGTGTTTTTCCATCTATCTGGTTTCCCCACGTGAGAGGCACACTGAAAGGCGCAATCAAAAAAAGTGTCTAGGTTTGCGCAAGTATTCATTTTTATTTAGTGCCAAAATTTTGACTGACTTGTGAAAGATTGATCAGCTAAATGCACGCCATCCCCGTAGCACTAGCCGTCAATAACGCTATATATATATATATTGTATATCCACTAGGATATTGATTTTAACTCTGCTCAATTGATCGTGGGGTCAACTCACGTACATTTACACGTAATACACGTTGCAAACTATGTTACTTGACTTACGTCGATGGCGGAAAATCTTCGTTTCACATGTGTGAGATTGACACTTTGTTTACTTATTTGTCTGAGCGGACAGTAACCCTATGGGTTTACTTTGTGCGGGACATGTTCCACGATCACTAAAGAGTTGCCTACTTAAACATTGCACTTTGAATGGTTAAAATATCTGGTTTTCCGGTTTCCGCTTTTCTGGAAGCAATACGCGTATTGCTATTTCATGCCATATACATACACATTACTTAACAGCAAGCATATCCACCCCATTCATCAGCCGTATAACTAGTGTTGCATTGAGTTCGCCCTCGATTTTTGCTTGAACAGATAGATGGTGTTCTTGCTTTGTTTGTTGTTTTATTGGTTCGGACATCCAATATATGCAATGATCAAAACGAGCAAATAAGTCCCGGGAGAATCTTATTTGCGAATAAAAGAATTGGAGAGACACTAGAGGGTGGTTTCACCCGGACGTGGAAGAAGCTACTCCAGATGGGTGGAACTCAAGAAATATTTTGAGAAAGGTCATAGAGTCGATCAGAATTTGTCCATTCGTACCAGGTCGAATTTGAATGCGCAATGACAGATCGGACAAACCAGCTCTACCAGGTAAACACTCCAGTTGAATGAACTGCCAATTTATTCAAGCAAATCATGTTATGCTCTTAGTCACTGACGAATTTCACAACACCGGGGAATTCGTGACAGTGTTTCGCAAAGTAAATTACGCTTGCCGCTTATTTTTCTGTACTGAAAGCTGTTATTGTTCAAGATCTATTCAAAAATCAGTGCTTTTTTTCTTGCACACAATAGTGTGATGATCCTCCAATTCTGTGACGGGAATCGGTAGCCGGGATTCGCGCTGGTGAATTGTATAAGATTACAATGGAAAAATGAGCGAGATATTCAGTCGAATAATAAACATCGACCTCGGAATAGGCCAAAGACGGAATCTGATCACCACCATCACCACCCTATTTTGTCCTAACTATGGAACGTAGTGTAATCAGTTAGCCCGTTGAAAGAGCCTAAACCACGTTTGTGTTCATTTCATCCCATCTATCTTACTGTCACGGGATAATGATGTCATGAGGTTCATAGTCTGTCTGAGAGAAAATCAATACCTGGGCGAAGTATATCTGATTCAACTGCTCCAAGAGATCTACCCGCTCACAGTCTGTTGAAGAGAGATTAGGCAAACAACAGACAACACGTGGGCGTCCAAAAGAATGGAGTAGCCAAAAAATCTAGTCAATAAACTATTAACTCTTTTCTTTTATCTTCTTTTTATTTTACTTTTTTTTAGTGAACATGCAATGGTACAATTTTCAGTAAGGAGAGAAGCGGCCAATCAAAGGGCTGCCATTCAACACACAATCGGTAAAGTCAGGCGGTGGTGGTGGGATTCGAACACACATCCCCGGGGTGATAATTTGGTGACGTTACCACCGGGCCACCACCACCCAATCCTGTAGTTGACTGTCTGATAGTGATTACCGTTAAAACACCTCATGGATCCATCATTCATAGTTGGCTCATACAGATCGGTGTGCCAGAATGAGCGGTAAGCGAACCGAGCCCGGTTAGCAGTGATCGATTCCAAGTGAAGTGCACCAGGTCAGGAAGCCTCGAAAGTTAACTTATCTGTTTTGCTGTTGAAAGAGGACGATCCAAACTTCACTCGATGTGCACACCTGAAACGATTCAAGTGACCCCAATGCGTATCCCCACCATTTCCATTTTTGTGTCATCCTCGAAGATTTATTATGGGATCAACTTACAAGCTCATGCTTTTCTGGTCCCATAGGTTCGTGCGGTGGATTAAGAAACAGTGATTCAGACAATTCTTTGTGTAAAATGTCACGTGATACGTGCGTTTTCCACTGCTTCACGTAGCTTCACTTATGTTGGAACGTAAGATGTGCTAGTGTTTCATCGAGCCTCAGTTTGAAAGGCTCAATGCTTGGAGCACAGACGACGTAGGATGGTAGAG